AGCATGTGCTCACAGCATAACAATTGGTATTATGCCTCCTTTGAATTTCTTTTTGATATCAAATTATGTCATTGCTGATGCCTGAAATATAATCGATGTGTTTTAGTTCTATGGAGTATTTTTTTCCACTGCCTCAATTAAGGATGCCATAGATGGCTTCATATCTGCAGTTGTTCCTTGGTGGATTGAAACTCAGCTCTTATCCTCTCCAATCTAACCTAAATTTGATGAAACCTTAAGGCTTTATTCTTGTAAGCTTCTTGATGAGAAATAGATCAGAAGACCTCAGAATGCATGTCTTTTTATCTCATACATTTTGGTTTTGATCAGAAGACCTCGAAAGAATCTCCTTCGTCCTTACACTTCTTCTTGACGACAATGGTCCGTAGCTTCTAAGCATGAAACGTAAAATGTTGCTTTGAGAGTTTATATGTTCTTCCCAATGCTGATATTCTTACATTCTAGAACATAGGAGTTGAGGATCCCAAGCTTGTTGAGAAGGCGAGAGTGATGGGTCTTTTTGCTCAAGCTTTCTTAACAATTTTCACGATCCTCTGGATCAAATGGAAACAACCTTATCTTATAAGAATTGAACACTGGTCACAGCTATCCCTCAAGATTTATCAAGGACATGACCGAGTATTTTAATAAAAAAGAATGAGATTAATTTTATAATTATTAAAATTTTTTATGTTAGCTATAATTTATAAAATGAACATCACCTTTTTCCCCTTAATTTCAAGCAACCCTGAATTGTTACTATCAAGATGAATGGATCTGACTAGTCCTCACATTCCCCCCCCCCCCCCCCCCCCCTATATATGCATGTATATATATATAGGCATGATCGAATGAGAATCATCTTTTCCATGCGAACTCTTTTTGTGTAAGTTATAATGTCTGATTGTGTATTCACACATAAGTGATTGTACATATTGTAATATCTGATTGTGCAACTTGTAATGTTTGATTGTGTAGTTTACACATTCGCATGTGTGGGTGTATTAAAATCATGATATTATCATCTTTGTAGAGTAATGAGGATTGAGTTTAGTGGTGATGAAGGTGTATGTGAGAGGGTATCCTCACATCCGAAAATCCGATATTGTCTCAAGAATTGCACTCAAAGAGAATTGAATAAGAGGTGGTTAAGTACAAAAATTTTTAGTCTTTGGAATTTAGCTTAAATCGTTGGGTTGAGTGTGTAGACTAACAAGTACGTAAATGCAAAGTAACAAGCAAAGCAAATAAAATTTTCATAGAAATAATCCGCATAAACGAATGATCATGTAAAATTTATTATATTAAATAAATATAATAAATTATTACTCCTTTGGACTCATTTTACTTATCCTACTTATTATTCATTGGTCAAATAAACATTTTTTTTTGTTTATTTTCATTAGTATTTTTTTTATAATTTTTAAATTTCATTTTTTGTGTTTAATAGTGCTTTTAACTTAACTAGTATTTGTCCCGTGCGATGCACGGAAAATATGTTATAAAAATATACACTCTATGAGGTTTATTCATATATAAATTTTTTGTTATTTAATAATTATTATGTGTGAATTCCTATGATAAAATTATGAACATAAATATATTTACAATTAAAATAATATTTAAGATGGGTGATTACTACAAATCTTAAACTATATTAAAAATTTAGTACATAGTATTTAATATTATAAATTTTTAAGAACTTAGTAAACTACAATAGTAATTGAATTACAATTTTAGAGTCACCACGGATCAAAATTTTTAGACTTTTGAGATTTCTAACTCTAGATGTAGCAACATACAATTGACCTTTAAAGACCAAAATCACAATCTTAGTTAGAACATTGATTTTTTTTTTTCTTCCAAATACTATCGAATTAAGTGTGTAATCAATAAAAGATGAGAACTAATAATTCGAGAATATAATTTTAATGTTACTAAGCCTACTTCACGTCAATTAAGTTGGAGAGTGTTGTTGGATAGTATCCGATGAATCCACGAATAACGCATCTTTGTCTCTGTAGTCCTCAATATGCACATCAACAATCTTAAATATTAAGCCACATAGCTATGCTATATATTAATTTCAAACTTATGGACTTTGGGGTTGCATGTATGCTTCTTAAAGCCATATGGTCTTGTGAAAATTAAATGCAACATTTAATTTTCACATCTTAAAGTAATTTTCACTTCTTAAAGTCCATTTAATTTTCACAAGACTTTCACATCTTAAAGCCATATGGTCTTGTGAAAATTAAATGCAACATTCAATTTTCACAAGACCATATAGCTTTATTATATATAGGATTTCTATGTATATAAATTTAGCATTCTAATTCTAAACTTAATATTATGAAAAATTAAAGTAAATAAATTCCGTCAAGTCTCGTTAACCAGACCCGACACAAAATAAGACGGATCAGAAATATCATATTCTATCTATCAAAATCTTTCTTGTGAAACTTATAGTGAGATCGGTTAAGTATTATATAAAATTTTTGATGAATGTCTTAAACTAATGTTTTTTCCTTGCACACTTTGGTACTTTTGCTTGTTACTCGATCATTATATGATGGAGTCATTTTGATCGCTTATGGAATTATTGTGTGTGTTAGGTGATTTGACAAAAAAAATTATGTTTTGAGGCATTTGATGAAGTATTTGATTAAGTTTTTTGAGCCACCTTAACACGAGAGTACAATTATTGGATGATCAGAGTAATGATTTTTGGAGTTTTGAGATGGACCATGGCGTGACCGGCGGCCGAGGAGAGCACCAAAGCATTACCGAAGACCTTGGAGGCCTCCCTTGCTAGCCACGGGCGTGGCCACACCCGTGGTTAGCAGCCAGAATGCTCTGCCTTGTGGGCACGAGTCTGGGCACGCCCTTGCCTGCACCCGTGCCCATAATGCAGTAGTATTTTGTTTTGCCGGGCATGGGTATAGGCACACCTGTGCCCAGCCTCTGCAACTTCTTAAAATTAAAGGCACTTTTTCCTTGTTTTAAAATAACCCTTCCCACCCCAAAAACACATATTTCATTTTCCTTTCTTTTCCTAGTTAGGTTTAGCTCTAGAATAGCTTAGATTAGTGTAGATTTCTTGTTCCTTTCCATTTTCAAGCTCAAGAACACATTGTAATCTTGGATTTCAATGTTTCAATAGAGAAGTTTTCTTATTCATTTCTTCGCTTTACTTTTTATTTATGCTTTCAATTACTCTTTTGATATTGTGTATCTATTGTTATATTATGAGTAGCTAAGTATTTTGGGACTAGGATTGAGTTTGATTTCTTGCTATCACTATTGGAAATCTTTGATTTTCCGACCACCTAAAAATGGTCAAATTTCAATTTTTCGTCAAAGGATTATGGTGGAGAAATAGGTCGAAATTTCTGACCACCTTTACTTAGTGGTTGGAAATACCGACCACAAAGTAAAGGTGGTCGAAAAAAAAATTGGCAATTTAAAATTTTTTAACAAGTTGTGAATTTCTGTCAATCTTTCTAGTAGCTGATTTTTTTGATAACTTTACAAAATTGGATGCTATTTCCGACTACCTTGTCCGGTGATCGAAAATAGCGTAGAAGGTTTTTTCCAATACCAAAAATGGTCTGAACAAGGGCTTCCAACTTGATTTAAAATCACTTTCAGGTGGTCGGAAATTTCTTGATTTTCAGCAGTGTATATTGATGCCTATATCAGTTGTATTACATAATGGGAATTATTTGGGGGTTCTAGGGTTTGTTGTGTGAATTGGGTTTGTTGTGAAATTGTGTATAATTGTTGGATTTCAATATGTGTCTTATCTGGAGTGTGCTTGTTGCTACGAGAGTAGAGCTTGTACACTATCCACACATTCACACACTTGATGCCCAATACGAGAGTATTTCCGGTTTAAAGGAGAACTTATGTCTTATGTTATTGTTTGGGCAATCTTGGGTTGATTTGCCACGAGAGTGGAGTTCAAGGTGAGGTTGCAAGTCCAAATAGCTACGAGAGTGGTATTTTAACACTTTTTTGCATCTCACTTACTCTATGCCTTGTTTAATTCCCTAATCCTTAGTATAATATTTGGCATCTTATTAGCTTGAATCAACTAAGTCTCAGTCTTTTGATTTACTTGTCTTATTTGCTATTTGCTTAATTATATCAACCCAACTGTTTATTGATAGGCCTAACTTTTAAAAGGGTAGTTTTAGCTTGTGCTTAACTCCACTCACTACTGGAAATTAAGGAATTTTCGACAACCTGAAAGTGATATTAAATCAAGTCGAAAGCCCTTGTTCCGACCACTTTTGGTATTCGGAAAAACATTGGTCGCTATATCTGACCACCGGACAAGGTGGTCGGAAATAGCATCCAATTTTGTAAACTGGTCTGAAAAAATCGACTACTAGAAAGATTGTCGGAAATTCCCAACTTAGTTTAAAAAATTTAAACTGCCGAATTTTTTTTTTCGACCACCTTTACTTTGAGGTCGGTATTTCCGACCACTAAGTAAAGGTGGTCGGAAATTCCGGTCAATTTCCCCACCATAATCCTTCGATGAAAAATTGAAAAAATATTACTTTTTCGACCATTTTTTAAGGTGGTCGAAAAAACTAAGTGATTAGAAAATCAAAGATTTCCAGCAATGACTTTACATAACTTAAAGGGTATCTCAAGTGGCAAAGGAACTTCTTTGTGGGGAAAAACTCCTGGGATAACCTGGCTGGATTCAATTCCTACAAGTGACAATTCTCCTTGGGCCAGCTCCACTGCCTCTCGAAACGAGCAAGACTTAGTCAGGTGGATCTGAACCGAACCGTTAAACAGACGTAGGATTATTAACTCTTCAGTAGTTACAACTCAATAATTCTTATCAAGAGAATAAAGACCCGGAACACTGTCCTAATCAATATTAAAACCCAATCAAACTCTTAAGATTAACTCTTCAATAGTCACAACTCCATAATTCTTATCAAGAGAATAACAAAATCTCTACCAAATTTAAAGTAATATATAAAATCCCACAACACCAATATATTATTTAAGCTTTGGGTAGACATGTCTGGACCATAAAGTTTAACCATTACTATACAAATTCAGGACATCATTCCATATTGATTCTCATATCATCTATATAAGATTTACCATCGAGCCTTCGACCAAAGAAACCTTTTAAGTAATCTGCAAGTATCACTTTCCGGAACTTTGGTGGATTTTGAGGGGTGATCAAACTAGGAGCAGGACACAATTCTGCATCCAGTCTGGGATTCAGAAATGTTGCAATTGATAGCCTTTCCTTTGCGGAGTTCACTACTGCTCGATGTTCAACGCTTCTGTAAATTCCATTACTCAGTATCTGCAATTAAATCAAAGAAAATATATTAATACAAGTCATAATGTTCTTTCATTGATTTTTCTATTTCTTTTTCATTCTTCTTCTCCTAAAAAGTTGAATCTCCAACCCTAAGGGCTTCCCATACCCCGACCTGATAGAGTCACACAGTAAGTTGAATCTCCAATACTAAGGGCTTCCCAGGCCCCGACTTGACAAAGTCACACAGTAACAAAGTGACTTAGCTGACAAAGCCAAATGCGGATCTATTCACTTTGGACATAATCGTCACACTGTCGTTGTCAAGTTTTGAACCTTGGTGTATCCACTAAATAATGCCTACTAAACCATTTAGCTTAGTCGGTGCGGGAAAAATATCAAGAATGACCTCCATAATATCCCCAATGTTGACGACAAAGGCATCAGGGAGTGGTTTAACAGGAACCCACATGCCATCTTTCTTGATCTGGAGACCTTCCATTTCGTTGAGCTGTAGCAGGATTGTAAGCCCAGTGGCATCAGAGTGAGGATTCAGTCCTATGACTTTGTCGGGTTGGAGACAACGTGGATAGTAATTCATCCTCATAGACTGCATCCCTTCCTCGAACAATCCTCGTACATGTTCCTGCTCAATCCCCAGAGCATTTGCCAAATTGTCAATAATTGTCAGGGCCAAATTTCTCAATTCTTCAGCATAAATTTCCACTGTCTCTCTGAATGGCAGAGGGAGATTTGGGAATAGATTTGATTTCCTCAAACAAGATGGGGAAGTGATGACATAAAACATATCGGACCAGTCAAGTTTTTGCTCCTCGGAATGTACAAAAGCATGTCCAAATCCTTGAAGATCTCCGGGCTCTTGCCAAAATCTCCTCTTCACTTCCATCGGGAGATTGAAGAAATCTTTTGTATCAGTTTTCACTTTTTCGATCAAGGAAGAACTCACCCCATGGTTTATTAGCTGCCACACAAATATTAAAATAAATTCTTCAATAATATCTTGATAGAATCAAACCCTTACCAATATGTATGTCAAAACCTATAAACTTTGTTTGGTCAAGCTATATCTCATAACCAAGATGTAACTTTATTTCTTTATCGCCTTGCTTGGTAACATAGTTAACTTATCAGTCAATTTTGACATATTTAATCACTATTAGCTATTTAGCTGTTTGACTTGGTTAAACATGCAATATAAATGTTTGATTAATTAGCTTTTTGTAACAATTTATTGCTCTAAAATATTAAAATTCGAAAAGTTGCTCAAAGCAAATTTTTTCTTTTAATAAGCTTTTTTGAAAAAGTCATTTTACATGTAATCAGTCATCAGCTAACAACTAATTTACCAAACATCTTTTTACAATCAATTAATGCTATCAACTACTTAAAAGTCAAAACCCACTAATCCAATCACCTAAGAGCTAATAGCTAACAACTAACAACTAACATCTAATCACCAAACACCCTCTATATCCCTTACATTTTCAATAGGCAGGGTGCTTAAACATGACCTTTCAGACATCTGCGCAACGATCTTTTAATTTCTCCACCTATTGGTGAACTTGTGGCCTTTCATGCATGGGCCTCTGCCCAACAGATCTATCGTTGTACAAAGATTGACCACACCAAATTCTACCTGGGGAATGATTGATCAGTCGTTATATTATAGACCGCGGTGCATGTGCACCGCGGTCAAAAACGACGCCGTTTCTTTAAATAAAGAAACGGCCCGCCGTTAGAGTTAACGGAGTCCGTTTGTTTGGTGTATTAAACACCAACTGACACTACAGCATATCCAAACCGACACTGCAGTTATATCAAAATGATACTGTAGTTATAGTGAAATGAAACTGTAGTGTATATAAACTGAAACTGAATAACATTTTACATATTTGAGTGTATATTGTACAATGAAGCTGTAATTATATCAAAAATGATCATGTAGTTGTGTTTTAATGAAACTATAGTGTATATAAAATAAAATTAAATAACATTTTCACATATTTGAGTCTATAAATATCGAATGAAACTATAGTTATATCGAAATGAAATTGTAGTTGTGTTCAACTGAAACTGCAGTGTATACAAAATGACACTGAATAACAGAGTTACTTTTTGCAAAAGGGTGCGAAACGACGGAAATAAACACTGTTAATTTTCATTTAAAAAAAAAAGACGCGCGGTGCATAATCGATTATGCACCGCGGTGCATAATATAATTTGCCTTGATTGATATGAGCTCTAAAAGCAAGATTCTACTGAAAACAGAACAAAGAATCAACACAAACCTGAAAAAATCCCCACTCTTTGCTTGCAGTATCCAGCTTCTTCAGCTCCTCGTTATCTCCTTTCAGCAAGTTTTCCATGCTAATCACTGGAATTTGGTTTTGTGCTGGAGCAGTAGGTTCTATATCATCACGAAGGTAGATCGGAGGGATGATTTCCGGTGATTCTTTGACCAATTCTTGAACACAAGGCACCGGGAAAGAGCCACCAAGTTCCAATTCCGGTGAAATATTTCTTGCCATGATAATGAAGGAAAACTTAAATTTAGTAGCTAGAAACTACTTGGTCTCCTTCTCCAAAAAGATCATACCAATATATTATAGTTCATAAAATTAATTTAATTTCCACCCGTACCCAGAATTATTCCCAATACTTCTTATATTATGCTTTCATATTATAAAAGGTGGTTACAACTTACAAGTCACCTATCATGTATTTTCCAAACACCATAATTTGGAAATATTTTATTCGGAGTTGGTCAAGTAAGCAGCCGAAAAACTGTCTTTAAAAAAAAAAAAATAATTAAAAAGGCATAGGCCGCATATTATATCCTATAATGTAAATGATATTGACACATTCAACGTATTCATAGAAATGTATTCTAACACGATTCAATCAAGATTAATGTCAAATGTTATTTTCTCGTTCTAATTTTATCTTATGCATTTATCTAATTAAAGTTGAATCATTCTTCCAAAAGGCTGAACCCTAACCCGACAGAACATTTGGGAGGATGTAAATGATAACTCAACTGAACATGAACCACAGAGCATTTGGGAGGGGATGTAACCCCCCTCACTTTGAGAGATTGCTCCCAGACTGCCGCTGGTGAGACTCGATCCCTGATCATTCTTCCAAAGTTTCACCTCTGTGATCAATTGAGCTGCCCATGCGGGTATTAAAGTTGAATCATTCTTCCAAAAGGCTGAACCCCAACCCGGACAGAGCATTTTCTTCCAAAAGGCTGAACCCCAACCCGGACAGAGCATTTAGGAGGATGTAAATAGTAACTCAACTGAACATGAACCACAGAGGCTAGACCGTGCTCACTGCGCACAACCCCCTCACTTTGAGAGGTAACTCAACTGAACATGAACCACAGAGGCTAGACCGTGCTCACTGCGCACAACCCCCTCACTTTGAGAGGTTGCTCCCACACTACCGCTAGTGAGACTCGATCCCTGGTCATTCTTCCAAAGTTTCACCTCTATGAACAATTGAGCTGCCCATGCGAGTATTAAAGTTGAATCATTGCCAATGTGTAGATTTGACAAAGATGAGACAAAACGGTGTAGATAATTTCTGAAAAGTACTAATGCAATTAGTGAATTGCCTTCTTTTCAAAACCCTATTTGAAAAAAAGCTAAGGTAGTTGCACTACCTTCTTTTCACTCTTATTTTTTAAAAATTAAAGAAGGCAATAATGTTCTGTTCTTTCCACTCCTAATTTTTTAAAAGTTGAGAAGAAGGCAAATAATAGGAAATTTTAATTTATTACTTCGAATTTGTTTTTAAAATTTTTTTTTATTAAATATTAATAATAACATAAACAAATATTTTTAAATAACTTATTATGTAATACTCTAAAGAAAAGACCCGTGGCACAAATGAGTTCGGGACAATTCCTCTATAATAGCATGCATCTATGACATGCGCACAAGGTAAGCCATCTACAGCCAACAACTGTAAGTACATGCCAGGTTAGTCAAATTTACCTAACATTGTGTTGCTTGCTCAGAGAACTGGAAGTTGATTCAAGTGAAACCTCATATATATTGAAAAAGCACGTGAATCTTGAATGCAAGAATCAACCTAAGATTCTAATTAATTTTATTTCAATTATAAAGCTGCTGGATTAGTTGCAATACTACTCCAGATATAAAACGAACATAAAATAGAGAGCAATAAAAGAAAACATGCACCAGGAAATGTTCACGCAGTTCGGAGCCTCACTCCTACGTCTGCGGGGCCACTCACATCAACCCAAATTCACTATGATAAAAAGGAGTACAAGAGGAGAGTTAATTACACACTAAAGTATAGTCTATATGTAACACCCCCCAAAAGCAAGACCCAATAAAAGCCCTAACACATGCAGATTAAACAACAAAACTAGCACAGTGGAAGATAAAAACGGAAACTGGATAAAAAGAAATCCAACGGGCTGTTATGCCACGTCTACCAAACCCGGTAAACGCTACGACGAACAATCTGCAAGTGTATAAAACTATCCCAAAACATCAATCTAACTACATTGGGCGCACAGGCCACAAAAACCACAAGATAAAGGTGCTAAGCTACCAGGCTCTAGACATCGCGCTCGTCTAAACATCACCTGAAAGATACAAAGATAAACATGGGACGACGCCCGGTCAGCGATAATGCTGGTAACCCACCAATACCGTTAAGTATCATATATAGGTAGATATAAGATAGAAAACCATTTTCGAAATGGAATACATAAGTATATAAGTTAAAAGGCAAGATCGAAAGACAACACAAGACTCATCACTCTCAAAGATAACACCGGGAACACATCCCAAACCACAAAGGTTACCACAACACGAAGGAAATACAACTCACCCATGGCAACACATGCCCTTGTGACTACACACGTCACAAGAAAGAGAACTCACCACAATGGCTACACAAGCTCTCGCGACATCACCCATCACGAGTTGATATGCCTTCCTTATGCCCTGTTCCAACCTTATGGCTACCCCCAACCTTATACCTTCTTCCACCATTACCTCCAGGACCCCTGTACAGCCAAGTCCAACCTTATTCCGCCGGGACCGTCGTCCCCCACCAACAACCCGCCTATAAGACCACCAATTTCATAGTACACGAGGTACCGTACACACACATGGCACACATGCCCGGATAACACATGTTATCCCCCAATCACGTGAACCTTTCTCGAAGGAACATAGCTCCATAATCACGTCACGGCCACCACGAGGACCGCTGCAATACCTTGGTGACTAGCGTCCCATACCACTAATCGTGCAATCTAGGTAAAGCCACACACGCACAACAACTTACACGAGTCAAGCAACGGATTACAACGAAGGTATGAAACATACTCAATCAAGGAATGGGTCACCACCCAACGACAACAACGATGTATAACACAAGTTAACATCAACCACACGGAAGGTACGAACCACACACACGCTAGCATTAAGACAACAAACTAGCATGCTTAACAACGGGGAAACTCAAGATAGTTCCCGGGAACACACAAGACACCTCTTGGTTCAACGAAGCACAATGTTGAACACTTAGCACGATTCAAGACACCAAAGAGCCTACATGGATACCTACCATATAGTTCTAGACCTACGAAACATCAAGAAGACGCTCAGATAGTTCCACAAAAGAACAACGGGAAGTCAAAAGATCGAATACCGAGACAAACGAATCACGGGGAATAAATCCCACTCCAAACTCCACTGTGTTCCCCGCAGGTGGACCCACGGGTAGGACCCTACCCGTGGTTCTGCCCGCGGGTACACCACCCACATTCCCATGTACCTGCGGGTGGGTGGCGGGTAGGGCTCTCCCCGCCGTTCCGCCCGCGGGTACATGTTCCTGTGTAAAATAATCCCTTCGGGGATTTTCTTCTCCAACACAAATTCAAGTCCAAAACATGCCAAATCTCACCATATACAACAAAATGACTTGAACCATGGAAAATGCGAAGCAATGGCACAAAGGAACCCTAAACACATGCTCTAGATATGCAATATCACAAGATAAATGCATAAACCCTCACATTTCATAGCAAAACACAAGTAGAATCCAAGAAATCACATATAGGTAAGCAAAATAGGTTTTGTAGAGCATGGGTTACCTCTTGAAGACCAAAAGACTTCACTTTACACCACAACAAGCTCCCCACAAAGCTTACTTCTCAAACCCACTTCAAGATCAAACCAAAAGATCATAAACATCCTACCTTTAAGAAAAAGAAAACTAAGATGGAACCAAAAAGACTATACAAGCTTAGATCTTACCCTCCTAGATGCCCAAATAGGTGAAATGTTGAATCTTGGAAGCAAAACTTGGAATCTTGACAAGGGTCTCAACTTGGCTTGAAGAATAAGCTACTCTTCTTTTCTAGAGAGAAGATGGAGATATTTTCTAAGGATTGTACGGAATGAAATGAAGAAGTCTTCTAGGTTTAGGTTACAATACTAACTCTTGATGAAAAGACAAGGATACCCTTACAAACTTTAATTACATGCTTCCTTCTTTTTCTCACATACGTGCAGCACATTTTGTCAAAGATGAAGCGGCATTCTCGGCAGTCTTCGGACGTGCGGAGGAAAATTAGGAGATAGATGGTGGAGACTTTTAGAGTTTATTTTTAGAAGTAGTATAAATAGTGTAGGTTTCCTATGGTAAATCGTTCATTATTCCCCTCTCGAATATTCTTTAAGGTTGTTATCAATGTCCATTCGTGGATAATTTCTTCTAGTTTGGTTTAGTGAATTGAAGCCCCGGAATTCATTACGCTGTAAGGTTATTTATTTATTTTTATATATATTTTTATGCATTTGAGTATTAAATATTCTTCTAAGTTATTTGAATAATTGTGTCATTTAATTGCTAGGGAGGCCTACTAGTTATTTATTTGATATAATTATTTGCTATATTAGTTAATGTTGTGCTACAAATTATTCTAATATTCAGTAGCAACTGAGGTTAATTATTGACGGCTTAGTGATAATTGGTCTCGGGTAGAATATTTTCCTAAATTAAATGCAACTGCTTGTGCTTGTGTTATTTAGTTTGTCGGTTTTCCTAGCTCTTATTGCTGCTATTAAATTAAATCTATAGCGCTTGTCTTAGGTTATTTAGTAGTTAGGGGTAATTAAACCGCGTGTGCTTTAGTTACCTACAACTAAGGGAAAACGGAAATGAAATAACTTCACGACAAATATTCAATTGCATATTAATTACTTTATTAATCAATGATCAGTGTTAAATTCCGGTGGTGGATCTTTACTAACCAATGTTTTCTATTATAAGCACTTTCAAAATATTACTTTCTTTGCTTTATTCGTTCAGTTAAATTACTTGTTTATTTAAATTCTCTTTAATTTTATCTTTATTCTCGTCATATTCCAAACCCCCCTACCTTTAATTTGAGCACAAAAGTTAAACTAGTTACTCCTCGTGGGATCGATCCTTACTCCCGCTACTACGTTTGTAAGGTTTTAATTTGGGAGCCTATGACAGCTCGCCACTGCATGTGCTTGCTATGTGTTATGTCTGCATGATACCCCAATTCAGTTGCGATCGAATTGGTTATTCCTGAGCTGCGGTTCAGAAGCTGGCTGCGGTAAGATTTACACTCTTGGGCTGCGGTCCA